TTCGAACAAATCAAGAGATATTTGCATATCTATCTCCCCTCCTGCAGTAGTGATCAAAAATTATTTCAAAAAATTAGAACCATTGCTTTCACACGTTCGAAATGTTTCAAAGCAACTTTACACACCAGGTTCAAATGTCTTAGTTGACGAGATGATGGTAAGATTTTCAGGAAGAAGCGCCCACACCATCAGAATTAAGAACAAACCAACTCCGGAAGGTTACAAGGTTTTGTCGCTTTGTGAATCTGGATATACGTATACTTTTTTACCAACTTCGCGTATTTCCCCAAGTGATGTGGCAAAAGTGGGTGGGCTCAGCCAAATTGGATGCCAAGTTTATCATCTCATCGTGCAGCTACCATATCATCGATATCCATACAATATTTACATGGATAACTACTTTTCTAATGTTCCTCTTTTTCACAATCTTCAGCAAATTGGTGTTGGTGCCTGTGGCACAGTCCGAAAAACAGCTTCCGGGTTCCCAAAAGAATTGAAGTTAGAAAAAAACACCCGGCTTAATTGAGACGTACGTTCTGATATTGTAGTGAATAGGGTGTTGGCTGTGTTTTGGCAGGACAATAGTCCGGTCACAATGTTGTCAATGATTCATGGACTTGTTGGTGACGAATGGGAAATAGAACAGGAACAACAGCGACCAAGAGAAACCAGTACTAATGCAACAAAAGTACGTGTGGTTTTTGGCTCTCAATCAAAGAAAGTACTAAAGATCTCTAAGGTGATAGATGATTACAACCATTGTATGAATGGTGTAGACATTGCAGACCAATTGCGGTCGTATTATAATATACAACAAGCAGACGAAGGAACTGGATGCCGCTGTTTTTTTGGCTCCTGGACACCATGATTGTCAATTCATATCGAATCGCCCGAACCTTAAGTTTAACACAAGAGCAAAAGGAATTTCACCTTGAACTTGTTTGGGATTTAATAGATATTGCAAATAATGTCAGGGAAATTCAGCTAAGGGGTAGATCAAAAAAAGGAATGAAAAGAGAAGCAACCGAAAAAAAAAAAAAAGAAACAAACAATCAAAGGTGACAAAGCATTTTGAGCTTTCAAACCAACGGTTTGTATCTGGTGACCATTTCCCGGAGTAGCGACAAAGTCGAGAATCATGTTTGTGGTGTGCTTGGTGGGCAAGCAAAAAAAACTTGGATCTGGATCATAAAACACAGAATCAAAGCAATCTCTGGTGTGCCGCGTGCGATGTACCTCTCTGCTGCAATAAAAGTCAAAGTTGTTTTTTCGAGTTTCATGTAAAAAATGAAGTCACCAAAAAAAATTCCGCAGGGAAAGGTAATACATTTAACCTTGCAAATTGTTATCAAAGCGGAATAATAATTGAATAGACTAACATAAGGCATTTATTTATTAGCAAAAGTCTGCTGAGATGGGAAATGTTAGTGAAACGTCTCAAATTGGGTATGTAATCGGAATGAGATTGGTGTCTCAAGTTGGTTTTGTTATTAAAATGGGATTGGAATATAATCCTTGGGTGTTTAGTTTTATGTAAATAAGAGCATTTGAAAAATCAATTTCAATATAAAAACTTGCTCTTAAAATTTTACAAATAAATAGCTCCGATTTGCATAAGAAATGACGCAAGTTTAATTATTTTTAATAAATTAAAATTTTATTATGAGTAAGTACCCATATTACATAATAAATTTATTTTGTCTAGATCTTAATGCTTTAAAACTAAGTTTGTCAAGTGGTCCAAGTAATTTAGTCTAATAAAATAATTTTACGAAGTAGGCGAAGCATTTTGTGCGTTTTTTAATTTGTATCCTTCGCTTGGGTTACATAGCACGTGCCATGACTCAATCACTTGATTTTCATGTGACTCGTATTTCTAGGAGCTGTCCTAGCCGATTTCGGGTAATATTTCTGTAAAAAAAAATTTAAGGGGGTTAGTTTTTTTCCAATTATTTTAGCGGGCAAATTTGCCCGCCAAACCGGACGGTTTAAGGGATAACCACCTTGGTCATATAAAGTTGGATATGACCTAAAATGACCAACACTGCTGGGAAATGATATGGAATCTATAAAGAAATGGCTTAATTCCTTAAGCATATTCCGTATATAAAATACGAAATTTCGGCGAATTCCGTATGTAATACGGAATTATACTAAATATTCCGTATAAATCATTTAAATCCGTAAAACTTTTTTATAGGGTATTACTATCTTGATTTAATAATTTTTTGTCATTTAATTATTAAATCCATTATAATATTGTTCTTGAATACAACAAAGCTTCATAATTGCTCCATTTTAAAACTATCCGTGAGTGTAACTTATTTAAAAAAGTGGAGAATTAATACGCTTTTTATTAAGCTTAAAAATTTCGAAGTTAACAAAGTTTATTTATTCTTTATTGTCAATTGACTCCTCATCATGAAATCCAAGATTTTTCATTTCATCAGGAACCATTAATCCTCTAAAAAAAGTAGAAAATATATAAATAAAAAATTTTTTTAAGATTTAATTTTAACACTTAAAGATAGTCTTATTCTAGGAGATATCAAAATATGAAACAATGGAATTTTCTTGTTATCCCAAGATCATTAAAATTCCATATTTTTATGATACTTACTTATCCATCCTACATTTCAAATAGGCTTTTGATAAATGCCTACAATTTCCATTATTCCCTAAATTATCTTTAAGGCATCGTAAATACTCTTTTACAAGCTGTTTACATTCCCCTTTACATGTAATAAACTGTAAGAATTAGATATTAAAATCATTTGAAAACAACCAAGTCGAATACCTTCATGATCTAAAGGAAAACTTCCTCTGTCTGGTGGTGTCGAATTAAACGTTGCGATATTTGGTGGTCGACCAAAAGACATCAAATTTTATTACTATTATTACATAATATCAGGTAAAAGAATTTAAATCTGACACGTGTAACGTGTGTTACCATATTAAAGATTTACACTTTATCTGTTACGTCATAACGATAAGCTGTAACAGTTTTTCTAAAGAGTATCCCCAGGAATATCGATATTATTTAACTTGGCATTTTTAAAAAGATCAGGATATTGTACGCAGTGCTGTACTGTACATGAAGATTTCTCGACGCGAATTTATAAAACCAAAAAAAAAATCATCTGTTTGACCAGGTAATCGTCGAGAAATCCTCAATAAAAATCTAGCAGTTTCTTTTCCGGGGACGTCTAAAGCGGTGTAGATTCATATGTTTTATTGAATTCAGGACATTTTATTATGGTTGATATAAGTAAAATTGCCTTCCCAACATTTTTTACTAAACTATCTGAGGTTGGTTTTTCATTCTTTGCTCTATCAAATTTCTATAATTGGTTATATGTGCCACGAACCCTTTTTGGAATTTATATCGATATCGTTTATACACGGTAATAATGTTGTTAGCGTTAGCGTTAGTCGGTATATATAATTAAACCTGCTTGATAAGGGCAAGCAACCTTTTTTGATCAAATCTATTTTAAAGTAGCGTGAAATCCACAAAATAGATCCTTGCTAATAAATATGTTTATATATTTTTTTTAATTTAGACATTTCGACATTATTTAAACATAATTTGGAATTTCGGCAGACTAAATATCAAATGTCGAAATATTTCTACAAGCTCAAAACAATTTCGGCTAACAACATTACATGGTAACCAGGGACAATGATTTCTGAATCACGGAATTTGGCTAAAAACATGGAATATATTAAAAATAGCATGGAATTGTCGCAGAAAGTAGGGATATGGCACACGGAAAGTAAGGTTTATGAGCAAAAATATTAGTAAAATATAATTCCCGAAAAAGTTCTGACGTAGAAAATACATGAACCTAAAAGATGAGTGTGGTCTATCCGAAGCAGATGCAATAATTTGGTTGCAGAATGTTCAAGTTTTTATTATAAACAATGCAGAATTCATGAGAAGTTTAGCAAAATTTATAAACTTTAAAACGCAAAATTTGCAAAATTTGAATTTATCACGGACGGAATCAACAATATTTATTACCGCAGAAAAGGTTAGAAATAGGTATAGTTTATATTTCACAATGTTTTGTTGTTAGAACCCTAAAGTTGTTTTACAGTATAATCAGGATCATGAGCATCATACGTATACATACACATCGTGTATAAATAGAAATTGCCTTTTTTTTTATGGATTTTTATAACTTAAATACCTGCTATTGACTCGATCACGGTATTGAATTAGCCAATTAAATTAAAATTTTATAATATATATATATATGGGGCCCCACAGCAAAAGAGAAAATGGGCCAAAAATGTCACCCTTTTTGCTGTATGGGGTCCCATATATATATATAGGCTAAGTTCGGACATGCATTTTGGCCCTAGGGCATGCCCCTGTGCCCGAATCCTACACCCCAGTAAACATAAAACTTTAGAATATTCGTTTGATTGGCTGATGTAAGCTTATTTAGTATTTTAACGTTCGCTAATAAAAAATCACCGCAAATATTGTTTATAGCTTTAACGAAGTGTCAAAGTTCACTGTGCCGGTGAAAATTGATTGAGGCAAAATATGGCTACCGTTCATTAAGCCATACGAAATTACTAACATAAATAGTATAAACAGTCAACTGGTAACCGAAGTGTTTGCTAAAGGCTTCACCAGGCCATATGTATCTAAATAAATTTTATTACTAACTGCTTAACTTGGTAAGTACGAGTTTGTCGCGAGATCACGGTTTTATGCTCGAGTTTATTTAGATTCTTTAGTTTGCTGATTGTAGATAATAGATCTAGATTTATAAATAGTAATACATATAGTAAGTATAGCTTTAGTGGCAAATCCCTTTTTTTTCGTATTCTATGTATTCTATGTGTATATAAATCACAAAATTTTATTTTTTCGCGATTCAGTAGACTTTATTCTCTGTTTTCTATACGACTTTATTGGTTAATCGTCACGGGTAATCACGGGTAGATCTATAAAAATTGACCAATCAGACGAATGTCTTCCTATGATGGATGATTTGGAAGAACAAACTGCTGCAGCGCAAGTGCTTCAAGTTTTAAGATTTGCCAATGTTCCTGGTGATTCTAGCTCTGAATCTTTGGATTCATCAGACTCATCTTCACCATCACGTACACATATTGTTGATAAGCTTGCCGAGAATTCATCGATCGTTACCATAGATAACAATCAAACTTCATATGATCCTGGTCTAAATCATACATATTTTGATCCAGACTGGGGAACAATAGTTCAACTTGACACAGATGCAACATCAACGACTGGAACACATGAAGGAATTTCCATTGATTGGAGTGGTGTCGTTAACACGGCTTTACTTCCTATTGCTTTTCCAAACAAAGGTGATCCTGAAGAAAATACATCACCCTCGCCAAAATCGTTAGCAAATAAGCATTCTAGAGATGATAGTATTGGAAGTTTTATTACTAAGGATACTAATGTAGAAAAAATAGAAGCTTTGAATGAGGCGGAAATATCTGCTGATCTTCTTATTACTGCGATGGACGAGAATCCTGAATTTTTCTATCATTCAGCATCCAATGATTACTCTGAAGTATCTTACACAGCTGGATCCGATGCTTTTTTTATTTCCGATGAAACTGCAAATATTTCGACACGTTCAACAAAAGTAGAAGATTCAAATGAAACTAATACGCGTCAAATTAAGCGACGAAGAACATCAATTTCGGACAAAAATTTATGTCGAAATTCGCAAAGTTCAAATATGGATAGCAAAACTTCTCAACTTGGATATGCGTGTTTATACCCTCATTGTAATAAGTCGTTTGCTCGGCTATACAATTTAAAGTCACATCAACGGACACATTCGACTGATCGGCCGTTTAAATGTTCATCTTGTGAAACTGCATTTGCAAGAAACCATGATCTTAAACGGCATCAAAAAATTCATGAGAATACCAAACCTTATAAATGTCTTGGTTGTAAAAAGTTATTTTCGAGGTTGGTTGCACCTTTCAGTTTATTATAGTGGTTATTTTTTGACTAGCTTAAATTTTTATTAATGTGTTTATCGATAGATTGGATGCTCTAAAACGTCATAAACAAAACCCAAAGAGTCGTGAATTGTGCCACGAGACTGAGGTGGCAACTGCATGAAAATCATGGACGATTAGCGTTTAATGATAATTTTGATAAGTAGTATTTTTTTGTGAATTTTGTTCACTTAAAATAGTTAATCAGGTTCAGACTAGCTTTCTTGTAACGAAGTGTAACGACGTCTAGGTACTTATTTCTTAGGGACAATACGGTCAGTTTTTTCTTTTAAAGGATCTATTCCAAAGATCATGATTATTCACCTAAATTTTGTAGTTATTACTGTGAACACTTTGAATCAAATATATTTTAATGCATGAATGTTAAGTATTTATTGTCGCAGATCATAATGAAATCCGATTAAAATGAAATTTGGGGGTTATTTTTAAGCCTCTAAAACCACCTATACTCTTCTATTAAAAATCCCAATCCTAAAATCTTAACCAAAACCCTAAAAGGAGCCTAAAAAAATGCACCCCAACATTTTTACCACGGCGCGTAAATTTCTAATTGAAATTTTCATTTTAATTTGATTTCATTTTAATCTGCTGCATTTGTTTTTTGTAACAAGGTGTGATACCTGATTTAAATAGTAAGACTTAATGTTTTAACATTGACTTTGACTCAATGGATTCGAGGTTTAAATTGTGCACTTTTTTGAGAAAGAAAAAAAAAAGAACGATAATTACTACCCCTTACACCGTCCCACTATTAAATGAACTGTGATATAGGCTCGATTCAATATAGTTGATAGCTCGTTAATAGATCAATCATGATAATTTTCGGGCAAATTTATAACTTATTGATTTGTAGTACTGGTCACAATGTTTTTAAAAAAAGGTGTAGACTGAAATGGCGGTTTTCATTATTACATATTAATCTTGTAAAAATGTAATTAATCTTATATACCATAAAAATGGATTTAGAAGATTAAATTGTAAATATTAACATACAATAAAAGCCTTGATTGTTTTATAATTCTTTAATTTTAATATTGTAATGCCTATTTTTAATGTACAAGATTTTTAACTAAAATTCTCTGGATGTCAAATTTTGAAAACATGAAAAAATTATTTATACGTTTCAATAACCGACGGGCCTTGTAAAAAAAAAAAAGGCTGCGTGGCCGGATTCGTTTGAAATTTTAACGTTACGAAAACTAAAAACTTAATCTTGTGTGTGGACTTAATTTTTTTTTTTTTTTAACACCATAATAGTATAAACTGTGCAAATTATTGTTGTCAAAGATCGTTTTTTTTTTTTATTAATAAGGTGCACCTTGAACCTTAAAATAAGGGATGATAATTGATTCTTGATTTAAATCAAATGATATTTACGTCATAAACATCAATAAAAATCGTCTTACGTATAGATTTAAAATTTTTTAATCTTTTCATTATTCTGAATAAATAATTTACGGGAGTTAAAAGTATCATCTCTTTTAGGATGTTGAATTTCCCATAAAATATCTTCTCTGTATATTTGAACAGCTTTATCAATATCGTAATTTGATTGCTCCATATAATATTTTGCTTCCACCGTGTCAACACATTTTGATTGCAGCTGAAAACGTTTCACTAGAGTTTTTCTTACTTTGAAAGGAAAGTTGATTAATGAAGATATAAATATGTAGTACCTATTAAATAACAGCAATAATAATATTTTTCGTCTCACCATCTTCTTTAGAAGGTTTTTCGGATAACGACTGGCCAAAGTAATTTGGAATAATCAATATTTTACGAGCAAAAATGTTATCATCAAATAATTGATTTTCTTTACGAATTTCTGATATCTATAAAATAAAAATATTAGTGCTCCTCAAAATCAAATTTAAAGCTCGAGTCTCAAACTTGACAAATATTTGAATTTCAAAAATCTAAAATTAACTGAAGATTAGATTTGCCTGCCGTAATTAATTACAACCTTTACGACATATAGGTTGCAATATTACGACATATAGGTTGTAATATTACAACTTGTTAAAAACAATTACGGCAGGCAACTCTACTGAAGATAACTTGATAACCACAGTTAAATTCAATCAAAGTTTTTTCTTTTATTTGAAATCTAGAGAACTATATAATTCAATAAAAAAGAAATTTTCTTATATAGTTGTTAAGGTATTTTCAATCAAATTTTAGGTTTGAAGTTCAAAGATTTGATCAAGTCAAATATTTGATAGAAATTCAAGCTTTACTATAGTAATAAACCGTACCTTAACGTTATATTTAAAAGATATTCCTATCAACGTATCTTCTTTTTTTATATGATGAATTACACCAAGATTTGGTCCATCAAGTTCGTTTTTTTCAATATTTTGCAAAAATGAAGGATTATCGTTATTAGTAGTAGCATTTATAACTTCTTCGTAACTCGGTGGTTCGTCAGTATACTTTTCTTTAGAGTATAAAATATTTTGATTTATTTTTTGACAAAGAGGACAATGATTTCGAAATCTTGGATTTTCTTTTAAACAGTTATCACAAACCCATTTATTGCAACATTTTGTTAAAAATGGTGTATTAACTCTCAAATAAGAATCTGTTACAGATGCTGAAAGAATATGGCAAAATAAACATGAAATATTATACATTATTGAAAATGTAAAGTGAACCCTACTCAATTATCGAAATTACCGGTTACGCATTATCGTTATATTTCAGTCCCGGATATTACCAAATTTGGGGGATGGCTAAAGCGGATTTACTTATTTGTGCGAGTGATACAAACCCAAAAAAGGAAATTCAACGTAAAAATAAACTAAGTTCGTGAAAATAAAAATTTAGGGTTAGAACGCTAAAGTTAGATGCTATAGAAATAAACATTTACTTCCTATATGTAAAATTTAGTTACCAAAGACAGGTACTCAGTTTCTTGTATTTTCGCTTTTTTCGTTTTTTTTTGTGGTTTTCTTCGCGTCGGGCTGATCCGGGATAATCACATTTTACGTTCTCCGATTGGCTAATTTCCCTTTTTGGATTTGTATCACTCGCACAAATAAGTGCACGCGGCTAAAGCCATGTACCCACGTGATGTGATGATATAGAAATGTGATGATCACGTATATCAATAATGCATGCATATGATACGTATTCACGCCCATTATTTCGAAATTGTACAATACTTGATTTCTTGTACGTACGTACATACACACGTACTTCTTATACATTTCTTTGTCAAAATAAAATACCCTCACAAATAAATTTTACTATGTAGCAAGACTTCGTAGGTTTTTTTTTTTTTTAAAGTTTTTTTTTTTTTGGCTTTTTTTTTGTTTATAAGGCACTAAAGCGAGATTGAGGTTACTTGAGTTTATAATGCTTTAAAGTGAAATTGAGGTTACTTGAGTTTATAATACACTAAAACGAGGTAGAGTTTACTTGACAGAAGCTTCGCAAAGTCTTTTTCACAAAAATACTAATATGCACTTTTTCTTTATTAAAAGGACTACATACGAACGCACTTATTATTTTTTTTTTTAAAAAAAAATTTTTCTAAAAAAAATTCTTTTTCTTTTAAAAAAACCTTTATAACAATACGCACTTTTTTTATTATTAAAAGGACTAGACTACATACGAACGTACTTATTATCAATTTTTTTTTTTTTGATACAATTTTTTTTTTTTTTTTTTTTTTTTTTTTTTTTTTTTTTTTTTTTTTTTTTTTTTTTTTTTTTTTTTTTTTTTTT